TTAATTAATCAGTTTAGTCTCTGCAGAAACTGAATGGACCCCGGAGAATAACTGTAGACTACCACAGTCACTGCACCCTGACCACTGCACCCATCACTGCACACCCACCACTGCACCCACCCCTGCACCTTCACCATATACCCACCACTACACACTCACCACTGAACTCAGTACTGCACCCCATTACTACACTCACCACTGCACTCATGACTGACCCCATCACTGTATCCCAGTACTGCACCTTATCACTGCACCCATCACTATACTCGTCACTGCACCTTATCATTGTACCTGTCACTGCACACTCACCACTTGACTCATCACTGCACCTATCACTGCATTCCATCACCATGAGCATCCTTCTTTTGTTTCATCCACCTACACACTGGTTTTCACCCTGAGGCGGCTGCCATTGCTCTCATGCCTTCAGGGTTCGTTTCCTTCAGCCTCCTCTTATGAGAATCCGAGGTGGACTTTGATCTCCCCTATCTATCAGCAGGGTAGAGTAGATTAGCCTATGTTTCAGCCAAGCCGAAGACTGAGCTCTTAGCTCTCATCTTGCTTTTCTCCCTCAGGGTTTCAGCAGAGCCATCTGGGGGAGCAGGGGGAGACTGTCAAAGGTCTGTGTCTCTCGGGGCATCCAGGTCACTGGTCTTTGCTACTGACAGGGACATCGAGGTCCAAGGAGGCGATGGTTATTCAACTTGATAGAGATTAAGTGATTTTAATGGCCTGAGAACTGCAGCAGCCAGCTCATCCTCCCTGATCTTACTGTTGTCTCTCATTTCTTACTCCTTCCTCCCCAAATTGCAACAGGAAACAGGCTCAAGTCCCAGTCGTGCTGCTTCTCAATCTTATATTGGCCCAACTGTCCAATATTACCATAAAACTTTGCAGAACTCGTTTCCTCATCTATACTCACATTAAATTAAGGAATAGGAACAATCACATTAAATTAAGTAATGGATGCAAATAACGCACTTATCCCCAGGTGTAGTACCTACAAGGCATTCTATAAAAGAAAGCTGACATATCAAGCTGTTTCCTGACATATCAGTGTTTCCCAGAGAGTAGGCCCTATACATTAAGGGATGCCTGAGACAATCAGAGGTGGTACCTAGACAGAACAGAAAGTAGAAGGCAGATAATTAGGAAGCCATTTCCACCACAGTTCTCTCTGCATTCTGATTTTTATGGAAGAGAAAGACTGTTCAGTTGTAGCATGACTTTTATGTGTATCTAAATGCTTGTTCATTTCCATTTTTAACAAAGAGAGAATACCTCACCTTCCTGGTTAATGGTAGATAATTACATTTCAACTCAATTTGGTGAACTCAGTCCTATTCAGTAATTTAAACAGTCTCTTTAGATAGCATAACTTTTTCCAAATAAATCCATAGCCTCTCAGATTTACACCCCACACCACCCCACCTGTCCTCTTCTCCAGGATGATGTCTGGCTGCATGACTTGAGGGAAGCCTCTATGACCACATGAGTAGAAGAGCAGAGGGAGCTCGGACACACTTGCAGAGGTCCTTGCACTGTCATGGTCTTCATAGCAACTTCCCTCTGTACTAGGTTCCTGGGAGGAGGATACATTCTAAAATGGCAAGCTCATGGTCTGTCCTCTGGCTTTGACCAAAGCCTATTGATCCTCCCTTGTTGACTCAACACCTCACCTCAGCCTGCCCAGCACTCAGCACTGTGCTCCAGCCCGGGCCAGGCTGGGGTGGCTCCACTCTGTTCTCAAGTCCAAGAAGCACCTCTGTAGCACCTTGCCCTCCTCCTCATCTAGCTCCCAGCCAGACTGGCAATCACCTCCAAGTTCTCTTCAAAGTCACAGGGTGATATTTGGGATCCTCTAAGGAATTGAGGATCCAAGGGAAGTGGGAGTCCTCCCTAGATCTCTCTTGGCTCAATCACTTTTACTCTGCTGTGGCTGTCTAAGGCTGGTTCAGAGATGTGGCACCCAGGTGACAGCCCCCTCCTGGAGGACCCGTCCCTGCTTAGCACACATCCTGTCACTGTACCTCTTTGGACTTATGTTTAATGGGGAGAGTCAGGACACCTTGCATCACCCATGCTTTCCTTACTTTTTTTCCCTTCTCCTTTCCAAGAGCCACAGTACAGAAAGGGCAGATTTTCCACTTTGTCATTTCTATTTTGGGGGGGTCTTCTACACCATACACTGCCACTTCACCTTAATGATTGCCAGGGATAAGGGAAATTATTTTGGGTACAGGAAAGTAAAATATGTTGGTCTATTCTTTTCAAAACATTGTCCCCAATGCATAATATTTGGTAAACAGTTTTTTAAGGGCCAATTTAGGGAAAAATATGAAAACTTGATAATCAACTTGGTAGTGAGAATGTATAAATTGTGAAGATAGAAGGTCAATGACTGAGCTTTGGGAAACCCCAGGGTATACATAAGAAGCTGTGATGGATACCTATGTGGAAAAGTCTTAGGTGTATGCTAAGGCAGCAGATAGTCATGGTCACAACTAAGTAGGAAACAAGAGAGGTTGGAAAAGCAAAGCACTCAAGAGTTCAGGAGAATCAGGAAAATGTTCTTGGAAGAGGTGACAGTTGAATTGGGCTTTACAGAACAAGAAACTGGAGAAGAAAGACATCTAAAAGTGGGAAAGAGGGTGTTTGACAAAAAGATAGTTCATGTGAAGGCACTCCTAAAACTGTTGAATGAATAGTGCTATTGAGAATTAACAGTCTTTCTGGTTGGATAGAGGGATAGAGTTCAAGGGCAGGGAGAATCTTTTTTGGTGACAACTAGGGAGGGCCAGAGGGGGAAAACAGTCTAAGAAGCCTCAGGTTGCTAAGGAGGCAAAAGGCCAAATGTTTGTTGAAGACATTTGTTGGCAGGGCCAACCGAGATGCCATTCTGAACTGATAAAGTTTGTGCCTTCAGAGCCACTCACTTGCCCTGGCAGCAATCCTGTTCCTCTTCTCAGAAACTTCTTGGCTTCGTTGGCCTGTGCTGGACCTTGCTGGCATCACAGGCAAATCTAGAAACCTCATTCATTCTTGGGTCTCTGAAACTTATTATCCTAAAATATCTGCACAATTATTATCATAAGATGGGGAGACCAAGGTCCAGAGAAGAGAAAAGATTTGTTCAAGAACACCCTTGGTTTTGAGAGAGAACCAATGTAAAGCCCATCTGTCAAGGGCGTCGAGGCCATGGGTAAGAATATATAGCTGCTTATGACCGCCATAACCAGAAGAGCCTATCCGGAAAGGTGGGGAAAAGAGACACATTCTTCTTTACAGCTTTTTAAAGAATAGTGTGTGGGTGGGTCTTAAGAAGCAAGATTTAGATTCCAATCTAGCAAAAGCTACTGACTACCCAGTATATGGCCAGGACATGAGCTATTTCTTTGGTATCTAAAAACTAAATCTTTTAATCCTCTCATAACACATATGTCTATAAACATGCATTAAAATTTTTATATGCTTAGTGTTAAACCTGAAAAGGTAAACCCTGAAATCAAGCTGGAAATATTTTAGAAATTCCTGTCCATCCTCCATTCACCTCCAGAGATTTATGCTCACAGTGAACATCCAGACATCTAATAAAAGCAGCCCTTTTCTTCCTTGACCCTAACCCATCATAATACTTAGGGACTTCTGTTCACTGCTGTTCATTGGATTTCAGGGCAATTTGCAAAATTTTTAAGATAAACTTGAGCCAAATGTGAATTTTTGCTGAATTAAGATTCATACCTTCACATAAGATGCGATTCCACTGACGTTCTCTTCCCATAATTCCTGGCACTCTCAACAGCATATTGGGAATGGAGTTGGAGTGAAGGAAAAAAGATTATTTACTGTAGGTATTTCCACAAAGGAATATGGAACACCTGCCTTGAGCAAAGTGCACCAGGCCCTTGCTCTGACCTTGAGCTGCCCTTGGGTGTGCAGGGTTCTGTATACAGTAGACACATAATACCTGTTTATGGTTCCCCTGCCTCTTTCATAAGGCAACTACACTGGGAAACCTGTGCAACAGATTGATGCTTTCCAAACCTACTATGGTTACATTCCAGAGCCCTGCCCCCAAATCTCCATGGGGTAGGGTAGAAAGATGCATTTTCAAGTGCTCCAGATAAGTCTGACTCTGCCAGCCCAGTCCCAAACATTTGAAAAGCTCCATCCTGAGCCTATTACCCCAAGATAGGGATGGAACCTGCTGGGGGCAGGTTGATGATGCTCCTGGTCCTGACCTGAGTCTCTTATGACACACCAGCTGTTTCTCAGGACATGGCCTTATCATGGAAAGAGCACTGCCATGAGAGCCCAGAATGCCGAGGAAGGGTCCCAGCAGAACTACTTATCATGACTTCACCTCCTTGTCCCTGTCTCTTCATGATTACACTGGGGAGCATGGGTCTAGGTTGGAAACATAGAGGGCTGACCTAGGGCACTACTCAGGCTAGTAGAAATGCTGTGTTGGGCTCATGTGGTGATTTTTTAACCCTGAGGTTACATTTAAAAGCAGAGAGCTGTCATAGACTTCTGATTTGGCCTACTACATTGTCACAAGCCAAATGTTTACTAGTGCTATGAAGTCACTGTTCTTTTAGACAAAGCATGTGCTGTCCAGTTGTCCATAGTCCCCATTACTCCCTATTGTTCTCTCCTGGCCAGCTCCATTCACTGCTTGTTGCTGCTTTCCTGGCCCCTGTAGGCATCTTGAGATCCCTGGCTTACTGATCTGGATTGTCCTTTCCCATCCCATGAGTCCAAACCCTACCAAATTATTCCCCAGCTCAAGAGTTAATCATCAGCTTTCTTTTATGTAAATCATTGGCCATTGGTCTTGCTTGACCAATTCCTCTGAAAACATTGGTCTGATGCTATTCTTTCTAATCTTGTGGCCTGTGCTTATCTGCTCAGCACTTGCCTATTAACAGGAAACCTTTTCTGGCCCTGTCCGAAGCTCTCTGAGGCCAGCAGCTGTGGAGTTCAGGCAGGCCAACCAAATGAGCAGGCATTGTGTGCATCCAGGTCAGGCCCTAATATGGGCTGTTTGGATCCTTGAAGTCACCACCAAGGGTGAGATACCTCATGGGAAAGGAAAGTTGCCAAAATATGGGGTGGGGGAGGATTTCCCACTGGTAGAAATGAAGCTACCATTCAGAGGTCTTTGAGGGCCAGTAGAGGGCTACATAGTACCCTTAGGTAGGTACCCTTAGGGCACCAAGGGTATCCTTAGGTTACCCTTAGGGCACTGACAGCCCTGGACCAAAGTTTCCTTCTCAGCCATGGGTAGGACACAGAAGATCCTGATTCTGCCCTAGGGTTGTTCACACACTGCAGGAGGATTGGAGGGGCTCTATCCTGGGCACCGGGGAGGGGTATGGGACAGAGCCTGGGCTTCTGCGGTCCTGGCTATGGAGGCAAGACTTTCAGTAAGGAGATTACATTTGAAACAGCACCAAGACACCTGGCTTCTGCTAAGGAAGTAACTGGGGAGGCTTCTTCTCAAGGCTCCACATTCTGCATGGAAACTGAGATGTTTTGCATGGCCAGTCTTCCCAAGTGCCATCTTTATGCCCCTGAAAGTAATGAGTTGATTTCAGGTGACATCTGCATGAAAATTTTAACTTTTAATCAATGTATATTTATTTTATTTCCACGAGTATTCAAAAGCATTTACCTAACTCATCAAAACCACAATTCCATAGATATTATTGCTTGGAATTCCTCTAGGTAAAATTTTAAAGGGAACCTATGAAAATTTAAGTTTAAGAAAAATAAAAAACTTGCAGTCATACAGTGATGCACAAACGAGCCAGCACCTGTGCTGGTGGGTATGAGAGTGACAGAAGCATAGGAAACCCTGGGCAGATGACTTTGTGGGGTCTTAGAGTCTGCAGAGCTCAGCTTGCATGAGTCCTGAAAGGAAAAGTTTCTACATAACAGAAAGGGGATGGCTTCACAAGTGAAATGGGGAAATTTTATGACTCAGTATTGGGCTCCTAAGAGCACTGATGGAGATGACTTCTCTGTTAATCTTGGAGGAAGTGGTGGACATGGATTCACAGAAGGGAACCCAGATACAGTCTGTTGCACAGCCTCCGGGAGAAGAAAGAACACCACAGCTGGGAAGCTCCAGTTGGGGCACTGCCCTGCCCATCTCCAACCAACCCCTGATCCTTCCCCATGTGTTTCCTCAGGGCCTGCTGCTGACCTGCCAGAGAGGAACACCAGGCTGGGATGGGTTCAGGGGAAGCAAGTCACTGTGCTGGGAAGCCCCGGGCCCGTGAACATGTTCCTCGGGGTGCCCTTTGCTGCACCCCCTCTGGGACCTCTGCGATTCGCGAATCCACAGCCTGCATCATCCTGGGATAACTTGAGAGAAGCCACCTCCTACCCTAAATTGTAAGACCAGCCTCAGTCCCATGGGTGGCCTGTGACTCTGGGAGTTGAGGGAATGAATGTATTGTAGCCAAGTAGGAAGGGGGTGGGGATGGGCATGGGGGGCAGGGGAGAGAGAAGGCTACAGACCCAGGCAAGCGCTTTAGTCACCTCCTGATTTCAATATGGCTAGTCACTAGACTCCCTGGTCTAGTCATTTTTTTAAAAATGCAGAATCATGGCTGGGCTCAGTGGCTCAGCCTATAATCTTAGCACTTTGGGAGGCTGAGGGGAGTGGATTGCCTGAGCCCGCGGGTTTGAGACCAGCCCGGGCAACTTGGCAAGACCTCATCTCTACACTAAATCAAAAATTAGATGGGCATGGTAGCGCGTGCCTGTACTTCTTGCTACTTGGAAGGCTGAGGCGGAAGGATCGCCAGAGCCCACGGGTCGACACTGGGGTGACCATGACCATGCCACTGCACTCCAGCCTGGGCAACAGAGTGAGACTCCAACTCGAAAAAAATAAAAAATAATAAATAAATAAATAAATAAATAAATAATGCAGAATCAGAATCTCCTGAGCTGGACCTAGGAAACTCTATTATCTGAATGCTCTTTAGAGACTTTGGGCACCAACCAGTTCTAGGAAACGCTAAGATGGACTCTTGGTCAGAAGGGACTGTCCAGGTATTGTTTTTTGTGTGTGTTTGTGTGACCTCTCACCTGGGCTTGGCCTCTATGGTCAGACTGGGCTAGGGCTTTAGTGGAAGGATCACTCTGAGGGATTTTAGCTCCAGCAGTCAAAACTGTACCTGACTCAATGCCTGGCCCATAGTGGGAACTCTGAATACCTATGGAATGGATACATGAATGTGTTTCTGTGACATAAAGGGCTTTGGGTGGACAGAGCTCCCAGTTATCGGGAACTTTCAAGAGTGATGGGTAACCAGTTACCAGGTCAATCATGGAAGGTTACGGCAAGACTTATGGGTGGGAAGGTAGACTGGAAAATCCCCAAGAATCTTCTGACTCCTCAGATTCTGTGAAGCTCTGAGGTTGGGCTATGTCGGCTCCTGGCATTAGGGTCCCTCGTACCAGGACCCTCCCTAAGCCACAGGAAATGATCACATGTGGTCCAGGTACTGAGGACATTAAACTGAAACTCATTTTTTTTGTTCATTAATTCATTTGTCATCCAACTAATATTCATTAAGAACCAACTCAATAACTCGCTCTCTATGAGGACCTGGGACACCACAGTGAATTAGTCCAGCTGCCCTCAAGAAAACATGTAGACTGATGGTGGTGGGACAAAAAAAAATAAATATAGTTAAAATATAGAGTGGCAAGTACAATCATTAAGGGGCCAGAGATGGGTGCTGATGGGGCACAGAGAACCACCTAGCTTAGCTTTGAGGGGAGATTGGAGATGGCATTACTGGAAGGCTTGGGTCCTGATTTCTGATAAACAACATACAAAAGGGCAAGGAGGAAGAATAAACACCTGTCAGGAGGCTGATTTACAGTGATATTGCATATATTCTATTAAGAAAACAACTAATGTCAATTGAGTATGGTAGAAATATTCACATGTATAGTCTTGCTTAATTTTACTGTCAGCCTCTGTGCTGGGTTTGTGGGGTACAGAAGTGACTAGTACAGATTCTTGGGCTTTTAGTGGCTCACAGTGGAGCTGGGAAAGATAATAATACTCAGGTACAAGCCTAGGACAGGCTCTAGGAAAGAATACAAGACATACAGGTGTTTCTACGAGCTATAGTCTAAATTAGAAGGCTTCTTGGAGGACGTGGCCCTTGGCCTGAGTTTGAAAGAACAGGAAGAACATGAGAAAGGGGGGCAGGTATGGGGAGAGAGCATTCCAAGCAGAGGTACCAGCTTGAGCAAAGTCTGGATGCAGAAGTATCCCTGCAAGCCTCCCTCAGTTGGTTCCATGTAGGGAGGCCTGGAAATGTCCCTTTGCTCCTCTGCACACAGAAAAGGGAGTTGCAGGAGGAGAACAGTCTTGAAATTTAGTCCAAAGTCCTGTTCCCTACAATCAGGGGAACTGCTGAACCAGCTTGAGTCTCTGTGTGTCTGAATTACGGTGGTGGGTGTAGACGTGGGAGCACACTGGGGGCTCATGGTGCAATTACTCTGCACAATGTGTTTTCCTACCCAGGAGCCAGATCAAAGAGAAGTATAGTGTGCTTGATTGTTTTGGAAATGTGGAAGTTTGGGCTTGATTAGATGTCATACCAGTGGCTCCCCTATGCCTCTTCTGCTCAGGCAAAGGAGGTGGCCAGGCTCCTGGCTGTCCTCAACCTGCTGATAGCTGTCCTGAGGCTATCTTCTCCCCTTCCAAGGTGCCTCCAGAACTCAGAGTGGCTGTTCTCGTATCAACACATGCTCAGGGTGCGTTACCCTAAGTTTGGAGTGTCGGAAGACTGCCTGTACCTGAACATCTACGCGCCAGCCCATGCGGACATGGGCTCCAATCTCCCCGTAAGGTTGCCTGCCATGTCCGGGTTCCCCCAGCAGGTCCCTGGGTCTGGGGTCTAGGCAGGGTGGCCGTGTGTCAGGAACTGAGCCTAGCCTCTTGGTGGGTAAAGGGAAACGTAATCACATCAGTAACTTGTAAAACATCATTACACTGATAGATTCACTTACTGACTTTTCTAACTGATTCTTTATTGATGGTGATGTGACCTTTGATTTTTGTTTTGTTTTTCCCTTCTGGTGAGTATTTAATGATCTATAAACTTTTGGTAAAGACAGTGCTTAAAAAGAGTCAGATTTTTTTTCTTAATTGAGAAATCCTTTTTTAAAGAGGATAATTGAGTCCTTCAATTTTTGTTTGTAATAAGACAGCCAGGTAACAATATTCAGTATTTCATTCAAGAGTGTGAAAGGTCCCTGGGTGAATTACATTCTATTTTGTTGCCTCACCCTCCATACTTCTCTCTCCTCGCCCCCCCACCCTGCCCCCACCTCTGCCATGGGAGTCTGGCTCTCTTGTTTCATAGCAGCAACATCTAATGAGTGCTTACTGTGTGCCAGGTACAGTACATTCTCTCATTACACTCCCACAATAACCCAGTGAGTAGGGACAACACCTATTCTGCAGATGAGTAAGTTGGAGTACAGGAAGGCCAAAAGTGACTTACTCCATTCTGTACACACAGTACATGCTAGATCCTGGTGCCAAAGCCAGTGCTTTGCACAGTCCCCCTGTTCCCTCAGTGACTTTCTTCTCTTTACTGTCCCAAGAGCTGTGATCTCTAATATGACCTTAAGAAGAGAATAGAAGGAATTTATTTATCTATTAATTAATTAATTAATTAATTAATTTTTTGAGTTGCAGTCTCACTCTGTCGCCCAGGCTGGAGTGCAGTGGCCACTCCCGGCCACCGCAGCCTCGA